TTGACAGTCGCTCTAAGTCATGCTGAAGGCGAGCGCAGTCGTCCTGGTTCCCAATGATCCTCCAGATTGTCAAATCATCTGCAAACAGGGCACATGGTGACTGGAGCTTCTGCGGAAGATCGTTGATATGAATAAGAAATAATACTGGCCGAAGTACAGTTCCTTGAGGCACGCTACTGGTCGATGGGAACCAGTCTGTCAGGTAGTCATTGACCTGCACTCTAAACTTCCGGCCCACAATAAACTCGTGTAACCACTGAAGTAGCGTGTCACCGATTTCCTATGCCCTCCGTTTACAAATGAGTACCTCCTGGTTCACTCTGTCAAACGCCTTACTAAAGTCGATGTACATCACGTCAACATCCTTCTGTTCACTGAGAGCTCGTACCCACTGGTGGTTGGCGTACATCAAGTTGGTGATGTAGGATCGCCCTTTCGTAAAGCCGTGTTGCGTTCGCGTCAATACGCCCATCGATTCGAAGAACAGCAGACACTTTTTCACGACTTCGAGAACTCTGGATAATATTGAAGTCAAACAGATCGGTCCATAGTTCTCTAATTTACTCGGATCACCACCCTTGGGAAGCAGTCTCACCATCGAGCATTTCCAGTCGTTAAAGACAGATGCATCAAAGAGTGATTTATTGAATGCGTTTGCCACGGCTGGTGAGATAACCGATAGGGACTTGAGTACTAGTGAGTGAAGTCCCTCTGGTCCGGGGGGCTTTGCACCATCGAGGTCCACGAGTAGCTGATACATTTCGACTGCATCATATTGTAGGCTATCGAGCAAGACTGGCGTAACCTGTGCCGGTACTGGAAAATACGGTGATGAAGTGCGTAGCCAAGGCGTCCGCGCGCTCCGCGCTTGAAATTAGCGTCTGTCCGTCCAAGTTCTCTAAGTCCGGTAGGTCGTCCCCAGGTTTTAGTTGACGTTACAAGTAGGCAAATATTCTTTTGGGTGCAGTTGTGGACGAGGATGCTTCTCTTCGAACTGCCGGCGTTTCTTTAGCTTTGCGATGTTACATAAGTTACGTAGTTTCCTGTACACCGTGTAATCTTCATCACAACCCGAGCTGATATACCTATCCCAAAGTTTGCGACGCTGTCACGTTGTCTTCATTTCGCATCAAACCAGTACGGTTTGAAAAGTCCGATTTTTGAATACTTCAGGAGAACAAACTGAGCACACAACGAGTTAAGCATCCCTTTCATTAGTGACCAACAGTCCTCAAGCGACGCACACTGTGGTAGTGTCCAATCAGTCTGACTTGCGGCTTGGACTAGCTCGTTGAAGTCTATCTTCCAAAAGTTGAATGTCGGCTTCCGTTGGTTGTAATACGGTAAAGACAGTTCTATGCTTGCCAAAATGGAGCAGCGGTCATTATTCGCCAGAGGTTCGAGGGCTCTGATCTCGTTCAGCTTCTGCTCGCAGCTCGTAAACATTAGGTCCAGACAAGCTGCCGAGTGCGGAGTTACGCGCGTCGGTTGGATGACATGTTACGTTGCCCCGATTTCGATAGTTATTTTAGAGAATTGAGCCTCAATGTTGCCATGACCGGGAAGAAGTCGAACGTCTGGCCAAAATATCTTGGGTAAATTTAGATCCCCCATCAATAAGAACTGAGGGCGGCTCATGTGCTTCTGTACATGTGATATCCAATCACAACAACGGCTTAATGGGATACGGTAGATAACACCCACTATTAGTTCTGCGCGCCTGAGGCGGATTGTGCACCACACTTGCTCGCATAAACTATCCTCGCTCCGATAGGTGCTGGTAAGCTTGCCAGATAGTGACGATTTTATGTATAACAGAACACCACCATCGGAAACAAGAATATCCTGACAACACGACTTCTTGGGGTATGACGTCGGAGTTTAGCCAAGTCTCTGCAAGTCCAACAACGTCCGCCGCTCCGAGAAAGCAAAGCGGCACAGTTCGTCACGTTTGTTCATTAGGCTGTACACGTTGGCGAATGCCACACGGAGGTCTTGGGACTTACTGCGGGACGTGCCTGGAGGTTGAGCAACCGGTTGATAAGGGTTCGTATACCCTTCTTGATCAGCCGAAAATTTCCAATTTGTAAGTCAGTCTCACCTTCCTCTGTACGGCGTTTGAGCTCAATGACAGCAGTCTTCAAACGATCCGTCTTCGGGTTCCAAGTCTCGGCGGATGGGAATTTTATGCCTTTCAGCCTTGACAGACGAGACAGTATGAGCTGCGGCATATTGAGATTTGCAAAGGTGATCCTCAGAGGTCGACATGACTGGTTAGTTTTCTGGCCAAGTCAGATTACTTGTTTAATAGTCACACTGTCCTCGCCCACATCCAAGAGTCTATCGATGAGCCTCTGGAGGAACTCAACATCGTAATCACAACGTAGCTGGGAATTTTCTTCTTGTGACTCTGGTACGTGGAAGACCATGAGATTATGACGCCTCAGCGAAATCAGTGATGAACCCGTGGGAGCAGAACTAGAGGCGCTTAACTGATTGGGTGGTTGTCTATCAGAAGGGGACGTCTGAACTTGATTGCATGGCCCCTTGCGCTTTTGAATGGTCCATGGATTCTCGGTGTTCAGAAGTTCACAGACAGGCTCTGAGAAACCCACGGACCGATCAGTGAAGCGGCATTTCGTAGGTTCCGAGTCTGAGTCTTCCATCGGTGGAGAACATTGAACTTGAGGCCTGGCCGGGGTCGAAGACGCTGGTGGTGGTGCAGATCACGGAGTGACAAGAGAATGCGAGGTGACAGGTAGTTTCACGAGGGACTTTGACCCCAGATGGTGAACGGTTGGTTTCTGTCTGAAAGAGAGATTTTCCCGTAGTTGTTGGCGGTCGCTGTGTATTCTGATGTCTTGCACCGCGACATTTATCACACATAACTTGAAAAAACCGTGTTCGGATGCAGAAAGATTTTCGAAACACGTCAACGGACAAGCCAATGTAAGAAAAATGGAACAAAACATCACAGCCAAAGCACCGAAGTGCATGAAACTTATTTCTTACAACTTTCGAACACGAACCACAAGTAGCTTGAGACAGCATTACAAGCTGGAGCAAATCCAAGATGGTGGACAGAGATGGCAGTAGGGCAAATCAATGAGATCTCAGGAATTAGCCAAAGAATAGCCACCAAATTGGTATCGCTTGGAAAATACGCCAAAAGAAGAATATTGGTGCACAATTCACACAGAAAAACACAGTACCCAGCACACGTTGATAAAAAAATCCGCGAAGTCCGTGGATCTGAGCGGAACTCATCTTAATTGTGGAAGCTGATCCAGCTTTACTAGAATCAGCATTATTGAGGTGACCATGTAATATCCATTGGAGTGAACACAACTTTTATACGTTTCGGTAGCTAGTTCTACAACAAGGCACGGCGCCAAGTTGTTGATTTCTGATTGGCTGGATTGGGAACTTGAGGGAGACGAAATTAGTTCAACCGGAGTAGCACAGAAAGAGATAAAGTTAACAAAAGACAAAGCGCATGTGACTAGCAAGGGTTCAATCATTTACGAAAAAGGTGAAAAGTGTGCATGGCAGACAAAGTTAAAGTGTACAACGCTGCGATTAGGCCGGTGTCTCTGTATGGAACAGACACTTGGCCACTTCGAGCTGAAGACATTATTAAATTGACCATCTATTTTGCCGGTGCTTGCTGGGTGTTGCTCACATCTACTGAAAACACAATGAATATCGAAACAAAGAAAGTATTTGGAAAAAGTTTCTCTGATATTCCCCTAGAGAGCTTACCAAACCTGAACCGCGTAAGTTGGATAAGTCACGTTCTCTGTATGCCCACAGACCGCCTTCCTCTGTGTGCAGTATATGCTGCCACTGAACTCAGGTGGTTGAAGCCGCGAGGTGACTATTCAATGAAGTTTACATAAAGACATGAGAATATGATCCATAGTGTTGGCTAGGCTGGCATCTGCCGTGTCTTCGTGAATGGGGTCTCAGAATAAAACACCTCAGGGTTTGAAGACCGTACGAAAAAGGGCTCAATTAATAACGCTTCTACATTCAGTTTCTTGCATTCAGTTGTTAATTTTTATTTCATTCCGATTAGTTGTATGCATTATTTCGATAACTCCTTATTCGTTATCCCCTCCGTACACAAAGGAAACATGCAGGCACGCATGAAAAAATACCTTCACATTCTGTGTACACATACTGTCATTTGCATAATGAACAACCACGGGTCAAAATATTTCGTTAACTATCAATACAAACAATAAATTTGCGGATCAAAGTTCTTTGCCTGCATGAAAAGGGGTTATATCCCATTCACGTTCTACATCTGTTGTCTCACCATTGCAAATTACCACTATCCTGGGACGCGAATTGTGGCAACTGGATACATCGAAATTCTGTGCCCAGAGAGCAGTTGTTTAACTGAAGTGATCTGGACCGGCGGGATAAAATAATCAGCAAAAGGGATAGCAGCACAGAGGAAAGTAGATAGATCCTCGACTTGGAATGAGTATAGCTGAGGTAATGTAGTTATAAAGAGAGAGAAACGAAGATTGCAAGTAGATAAGAAACCACAGCGGAGATGGGGAAAGTGCGCACATCAGTGTTTGAAAGAAGCACGAGGTGAGATAAGAAACAGCTATACAGAAAGTGAGCTCTGAGATGCGCAAGTAAGTAGAATGAAAAACATCAGAAATTCATGTGACTCCATCTCGAAAAAATTCAAATGCCAGGGCAAAGTTAGGGAAATTCGAACTATGAGAGCCGATAAAACTAATTTGGCAACCAGCACCAGTTGTTTCATAAGAGAACCAACACAAGGGACCGTGCGTGTAAAACATGCGGAAAAGGAGGTAAGCCTAACGATTGCTCCAACTTGTGAAAATGATCGACTGCGTATCCGTAGGGTTTTCAAAGAATGAGAAGAAGAGTGCACAAAGTAGAAACTAGACAACTGCGCAAATAAGCAAGTCACGTCGCACGTAGGTGTACTGATAACTATTGCGCAAAATGTGGAATTAGCTGAACGTCACATTGGGTACAGGCAAACCCAGTTGGTTGCCAAGATCTTGAATAATCTCAAACAATATCACAGCCAAATCACGAGCCGTCATGTTCGAAGAGACAGGAGGTACATGGATAAACACAGATCGATCGGGAGCCCGAGAGAGTGAGCTTGAAATGGAGAGAAAACGGAGAGGGAGAATAGGCAGCACACAATACGTTTTGTACACAATGTGAAATCAAAGTGAGACCGAATGGCCTGAATACTCGACGTTCAAAAAGTCCTCCTAGTTTCAGCTATTACAATGATTCCAGTGAACACGAAGACCTAGTCACTGCATTGATCATTCGGTACTGTTATCAGATCCATAAGGCGAATAACAACGACTAGTGAGGTTCAAAACAATGGAAAGAATACATCATGGATGGAGTGTACACAGGCAAAAGAAGGCGCAACAACTGCCAAAGAACCCGAAGTTAGTGGATACATTTCCTCTATCATGCATGTTCAAAAAGCCAAAGTAATGTGAGGGGTACCTCTGTCACTTGCACTGTGACGGTAAGATACCACATCAATCATGCTGGTTGCCTATCGAACAGTCATCTGAACGAAAATGGGCCCTACCATCTGAAAGCCGATCGATCGCCGCCAGTCGAACAGCAACGCTCACAAGTGTGAGCGAGAATCGTTCTAGAAGTCCGCACGATCAATCGATGAATATGTTAAGTATCCGTCAGCTGCAGCTAAACAAGGAATAACAAATGGGGATCGCTCAACGGAGCATAGTTGGTTCTATAAATAATATGTTCCCTTCTGGTCTGTCTTGGATTTTGATTCTTAGAGAGCACACCCACCAAAAGCAACCTCAGTACATAATGGCGAGACTTGATTTCGAAGCTGTGCGGTTGTCTGCATGACAGTCTGCATGCGACAGTCGTCGAATACCCATAGGAGTAAACGCGCCAAAAAGGTTAGTGGACAAGGAACAGACACACCAAACTTCAGCGTATTGGGAGTAGGTCAGTTCTCTTAACGCCTGCCAACAACGGATAAGAGCGAACAATAAGTTCAAACCGATTGAAATGAAGTACGAGTGCTCCAGGCTTTCCTTGATGATGAAAGAGCGTGTCAGATGGTCGGTAGATTTGCTATCAGCAACCTCAAACTAGGCAGCTACTGGCTCGCCAAGCCTCAGCTGCGATTGATCGTGGTAGTCACAGCGACGCTTTTCGCCACAAACTGCCCATGGAAAATAAAAATAAAAAATCTGTCGGTGCTTTTGATTCTAGGAGAGAGGATCAATCGGAAAATGACCAGTAAACCTGAAATAGGGGGATGAGATAGGCACTAATTTATCGGGACCTAGGCACAATACAAGCGATGCTCAATAAACTAATGTATATCTCCGAATGGCTGGGTGGTGGCAAACACAAGGTAACGGCTGGACTGATTTCTCGGCCGCGATTTATAACAACCACCGTAACAAAGACGGCTGTTCACAATAAACCATAATGTGGCTAATCCTTTTCGCCAGTTTCATTATGTCAACGTGAACAAATAACAATTTGAGATAGTCAATTGACCGGTAGGTGAAGTACGTGGACTGGCTGGCGTGTGTGATTCAGGATTAAATATGATGCAAAGCGACAACGGCGATTACCACAAGGTCATCCCACTTGATGCTACACGATCATTCAATCACCATGCGATGGAAAAATCCAAAATGAGCGCGGGGAATAGGGATGGGCACAGAGCGAAGCTGTTCACATGCAAGAGGTCAACAATAAAAAATAGAAAACTCCGAAACCTTAAACGCTTCACGACAATGCGGTATATTGCTGACAAATACATCTGGTAACGAAAACGAAGGCAACTAATCCGCTTAAGAGCAACAAGGCGTTGTTGATAAGGTGGTTGTCGACGAATCAGTCCATCACGTAAACTCTGTCTGGCCGGACGCTTGCGGGACGGATGAACTCATCAGCTATAGACTGTGCGTTCTGGCTTCGACCCTCTTATCTACGTGCGCCACTCAGGTGAGAGCTCACTTGCATGCATACCGAACAGAGTTCGGTACTCCTTACAGAACCTACAATAAGATGACGTTACGAAAAGCTGGCAGTTGGTGTTGTGAATTAAGATAAGATGTTGGATTGCTGGAGTGGAAGTAATCGGTTTATTCTAACTTCAAAAAGGGCTGATGCGATCCTGGCTAAATGATATCCGGTGATCCAAACGGTGTGGCACATGATGACAAAAACGGTGCAGCTGTTATTGTGAATAAGAATGATTCCAGGAAAAATAATAATGAGATCAATGCTGCAGGTACTGCACACATAACAGCAAGTAGCCCGCAGAGTTAAGTATAAAAAACTAGCCACCATTACAGAAAACACAAGAGGGTGCAACGATGGGAATAATAACGCTAAGAGAATGATTCCAGGCAGCAAAAATGGATAGCTAAACCGAGTGTTATTAGTATTATTATTAGTTAATAGTAGTGTTGTCAGCTAGTTAAACAGACAGAGCCAATAAGAACCATGAAGATTAGTGAATAAGAGGTGGAGCCGCAACGTCGTAACCAACGTGGTACAGTAGTTTTACGTAAGCGACTCATTTCAGCTACTGTGTCGCAGGAAGAAAGGAAGCTTTTTATTTTTTCATACGCCACAAGATAATCATGTTAGTTATTACCCAGCAAACTTTTGAATACAAGCAAGTATTAACACTAGGGTCCAGCCACCGCTTTGTGTGCGCTTGATTCCCAAATACATCGTGCTTATGTTTGCCTGTTTAGGAGTGGGCCGGCTCCGTTGATGTAATGTGCCTCCCGGTCTTATTCGTTCGGGTTTACACTGGATATGGGGTGTGTGGATGGAGCAGTGGGTGGTGCAGCGCAGGCCACCCCTGGTTCCTCTATAGGAGCAGTCGTCCTGTGGTCAGCCACAAGACGCCTGCGCCTACAGAGGGACCAGGGGTGGCCTGCGCTGCACCACCCACAGCTCCATCCACACACCCCATATCCAGTGTAAACTCGAAGGAATAAGACCGGAAGGCACGTTACATCAACGGAGCCGACCCACTCCTTCACAGGCAAACACAAGCACGATGTAATTGGAAATCAAGTGCAGACAAGGCCGAAGGTAGACCGTAGTCCGCTCCACACTGAGTGCATGGAACCACTCTTTGAGCCTAACACGGCCACAAGGACCATGCACCCCGTCCCCTCCAGCAACGACCAACTGTCTACTGGAGCCAGTGTGGACGAGGTAGTGGGTAATGGACAAGTAGGCACCTTGTCAACATGCACATCAAGCGCAGCCACATTGGGGACATCAAGCAACAGCCAATCACTTGAAACGACAAGATGAAATAAAATAAATCGAATAATGCATACAGATACGATGACATAAATCTTTGCTATATATATATATATATATATATATATATATATATATATATATATATAATCAGCAGTTCAAGGAATGGACATGGGGCCATCAAGAAAACAATGAGAATCAAAAGAACGTACGATTTCACAACAAACAAAACGATATCGTTTTAGTTTTTTCATACACCGATGTTTCTCTTTTTTATCATTTCCAATATTTAGGGTATAAAACATGTGAAGCAATGTAATTCTGTACTCATTTCTTCAACTGCTTCCGGTTGCGGGTCATGTCTTGCAGCATGTTAAGCCAGTGACACATCCTTGGGTCCACATCCAAGGAGGGATACAGGTCCAACGGCGGCTAGACACGATGTCAGCGAATCTATCTGCTGTCGCTACGTGGAAGATTGACCAAACACGCGGTCGCCTCCAGCCATGTCCTTCACGAGCGAATAAAGGGCGGCGTTCTGTACGTTCAGACGCCACGCGTAGAACGTGACCAATCATCTCAATTGGCGCAGCAAAATCAGCTGGCTGAAAGGAATACTCGCTCAATAGACATGTGCTTTTTGCTACAATTCTTTATCGTCCGCTTATGTTTTGCTATCGTTTGTTTTTTCGACAAGTATTTAAAAGCATCATTTCTTTGCCTTGATTGGCGGGCTTAATTCGATCACAATAGATGTTATCTCGCAGGTCTATATCCGCTAATGCCGTTTCCTCGAACTTGTCTGATCGGTTCTTCCTTCTACCCCCTTTCATTCGCCAGTATTATTATTTGTTTCCTATAAAGTTGGTAAGCTGCAACATGCTTTAGTAGCTTTAATTCATAAACTATTTTACCCTAGATGAAGAAGCAGTGTTCTGATGCAAAGAACTCGGTCCTGGCTCGTCTTCGTGTTCTTCTTGCGCTCGTAGGCGCGTGAACAAACAGCGGTGACACAACAGTTGCTGGCGATGGGTAAGTTGGCGATTGTTGGCTAGTTCTTTGGAAAAAATGCAGGTGCGATTCCAGCAGCAACAGATGCAATTCGAAAATTCACAGCGGCAGTGAATCGAGATTTTATCGCAAAAGCTGAACATTCAAGCAGAATCTCCGGGACCGACATCACAACCTTTCGTGGACTTCATTGTGGCATCGATTTCGGAGTTCGTTTATGATGGATTGACTGGTATCACCTTCGAACGGTGGTACCAAAAGTACGTAGATATTTCCTGTGTAGAGTTGGCCGCACAAAATGATGCCCGGGAAGTCCGTGCGTTGTTGAGGAAACTGGGAGCGGTTGAACATGAAGGATATAAAAATTTTGCTTTACCCAAGAATACAAGATACTTCAGTTTCGAGGAGACGGTGAAAATATTGACACAGATATTCGGTGGGCAAGCGTCCTTATTCAGTAATCCGGTGCAACTGTTTAAAATTGGTCAAACGGGATGCACATGATTTCATCACACATGCTGGCATCGTGAACCGAGGGTGTGAACGTTTTAAACGGGGCACCATGACATCTGATCGATTCAAGCGTTTTGTCTTTGTAGACAGTCTTCAATTCATGCGGACGCTTATGTTCAAACGCGTATCCTTCACAAATTGGAACAAGAATCGCAGCTGACACTGCAGGAGATTGCTGCCGAGTGCCAGAGGCTGCTAAACTTGAAACATGAGAAGTGGTGGAAAATTCGGATTACGGAAACGAGGCCATCTGTCGCACAGCTGTTCGCAGCAAAAAAGGTGAATCGAAATGTGACGGATCGGAAGCCCCTCTTCCCCCCCCCCCACTGCCTGTTGGAAATGTGGCGAGTGGCACTTTGCGAAAGACTGTGAGTACAAGAACCAGCAATGTAACAAATGTAAATGCATTGGTCGTAAAGAAACACGCTGTCGAGGACCTCATAACTTTAGACGCATATTTACTCTAAAGATTCCAGTAAACTCCAAGTTCAGGAAGATCAGATTCCAGGGTGCAAAGACGAAAGCGATTCTTGCCGCATTTCGCACAGAATTCGCAAGTAACAGAAAATACCTGACTGTGAAACTTAACGAGGTTCCGGTATCGTTGCAGCTAGATAAAGCGTCCGACATCACCAGCACTTCCTGACCGACATGAGCTAAGCTGAGTGAACCTTCAGTCAAACATACGTGTCTCACGGCTCAAAGTGCATCAAGAGAACCGTTGTCGCTAGACGGAGAAATAGACTGTGAGCTCAAGTACAAAAGGTTGCAACTCCATGGCATCATCCACCTAGCTTCTTGTACCGATATTAATCTACTCGGAATGGATTGGATTGTGAAGCTAAATCTGCTCGATGAGCCACTGAATCGTGTGTGCTCCGAAACAAGTCATGGTCAACCATATTGCCATACCGTGCATCGAAAACATACGGTTTGAGTTTGAGGGGACAGCATTTAAACAGATCGATGGGGTTACAATGGGCAACCCTCTAGGATCAGTTTTAGCCAACGTCTTCCTCGGCTTGATAGGAAGGCAAGTAGCTTGTAGCATTGGTGAAGCAAAATCGTACAAACGGTATGTGGGTGACACTTTAGCTTTCACCAGCGGAAAACATTCTATGCGGCTATTGGCCATTCTGAATTCGATTCCCCCTAATCTATCAGTATCCCATGAAGTGGAACAACACGGATGCCTGCCGTTCTTGGATATACGCATTAGGAGACGGGTTGAAGGTACACTGCAGCGCACCGTTCACCGCAAATCGACTTGAAGTGGACAGTACCATGATTGTTCAAGCTTCGGCCTCGGTCGTATGCAGAAGCGGCTTAGTGGAAACTCACTTCTACCGAGCTAGACATATCTGCAGCACTGAAACTGAAGAAGTTATACCCAAGACGTGAATTTCTAATGGGTATCCTTAGAAGTTTATTCAAGTAGACAGCAGATCACCCAGCAGGAAAACACCGGTGTTGACGGTAGAGAAAATGGATGTTTACTTGTTCTTGCCGTTCAAGGGGGACCATGTGGAAAATGATATCGGATGCAAGCTCCGGTCTGCGCTAACGCGCACCTATAAGACCGCCCAGTTGCGACTTATACATCCCAGGAGAGGACTTGTTCTTCATAAGCGTCCAGGCATTTCGTCGGGTAGTTCGGCCTTTGTTGTTTCTCAGTTCAACTACAGTTGCGATGATAGTTATATAGGCAGCACTAACCGTCAGTTAGCTCGTAGAGCAGCTGAACATTTTCCAAAGTGGTTGGGACAAGTGATGACGTAACAAAACGGGATTGATTTGTGGATTAATCGGAGCCCGACATCGTCTATCACCAAGCACCTCATGGCAACTCATCATCAAGTGAACCCTGAGACCGCGTCCAAAGTGTTACTGAGCAACAACAACCCGACAATGTTGGCAATTAGGGAGACGTTGCTCATTAAGCCCCATCAATCTGTGCTATGTGCACAGAAACTCTTGAGGCAATCAATTCGGTTGTCTTGGTCTTGTCTGTGACATTTCGATTGGTGCTGCTTATTTTTCCATGTTTGTGTGTTTCTGCTCATAGTGTTTGCGACTCAAGAGAACGATCAAAATGTTGACATAGCGCAACCAATGTATTCTCTCTCCCTTAACGAAATGTCTGAAGAGAACCCACTGATATAGGCATTGAGATAGGCAAAAAGACATCAGCAGTACGCCGGTATGCAGTACCGATGCTTCGCTGCCGCGCAACTACCACCGGTCGCACGTGGATTAAGGATACTGCGAGGATCGCCCGGACCCTACGAAGGCTGGAAGCCGCGCCGTCCGATGACAAGACAGGCTTGTGATCCTTAAGGCTAACGACTATGCTTTCGATAAGTGTGACGCGGATTTGGTATCTAACTAGGAGTAAAAAGGCTATCCGGGAAATTATGTCCCGATCGAGAAACATCATATATATAGTCTATTAATTAGAGTGACAGAAAACCGAGTAGACAATAACAACAGAAATATAGCAAAAGCCATGCAAACTCACAGATAGTAGATGAAACCGCATAAATACAGACCAGGATTGTCAGAAAGGACGACCGGAAGAGCTTTGCTCACGAGTACATCAAAAGTGCGATTTAAATCCAGCTGACAACAGAGCACGTCAGCTCCGTCAGGTATACATAATCCGTTGTGATCGCAAGAACAATGATCTACACCAGGATGATCGTAAATCCCATTAAAAGCGCGCGTCTCTAGGGCCACCGATTGGATGTGAGCATTGACACCGACGTGAACCACGAGGTCCTGGAGAAAAATGAGGCATCAAATTGAATCAAGCAGTTCGGTAACAGCATCACCGGTGTGAACATTGGCGGCTCTGCAATATTTATTTACAACATACGTTCTAAGTAACTGAAGGGACAGATGTACACTTAAAGGTAAATTTGTCACAGTTAAGATTTTGTATTGTAATCCATATACCCAGTAAGTAATCGATAACTAATGTATTCACGCACACACATACACATCCCATCGGGTACGGATATGGAGCCAGACCGGACACCACTTCAGGGATAGCATTTTAATAGCAAGAATGTCAAAGTGACTTTAACATATGAACAAAAAACACCGCGTAGTGTTGGGACACATATCTTTATGGGAAGCAGCCGGTATCACCAAGCAGCCTAGTGATTAGCATGGTTTAATACACGGATAAAATAGAAATGAGTGCTCACATTGTTGAGTATGTCATTCTGTTTCATCATCATATGTCATATGCAAATAAAGGTGGGATTTCAGAAGCAATAGGCGCCTTAAGTAATGTGAAACAGATCAAACGTACGCCATCGGCATTTGAACTGGGTCAGTTAAGCAGTCGAGCACCCAGTGGTCTACATTCGCGACTAGGTGACGACAACAAACAACGGTTCAGTCCAGTTGAAAAACTGTGGTAAAATCCACAAAGTACCATTGGCCTGGTCATCTAGATGATGATCGTCATGACAATCAAAATGAGTAGGAGTAGAGAAAGTGAAGTCATGAACGAAAAGGCAAAACAGATATTGGTTCCTAAAACGATGCTATTGTCCTATGACGGAAGGGTAGATGACCAGATTCAGCATTTTGAATGCAAAATCAGAGTAAAATTCCTAACGCGGCGTGTCGAATGGGGCAGTTAACCAAAGGAGGAAGGTAGGAAGATGACGCAACTTAGAATGACTGTCACCGGATCGGTCACTATATGGGGACTAAACGTTTCAACGGGCGTGATACAACCACAAGAGATGACGGTGCGCAATCCGTCTGGATGGGCAGTCCAAATAAATGAGAGTACCTATTGAAACAACAGGTAATGTCTAACCCGACGAAATTTTTAGTAACAACCTTAAGACAAAAGCACCGCACTATTTAAGTTCGGACAAATTGCTCTGCATAGTGTCGGTTCCATGATGAAAGCGGACACGAATGATGCGCACGCGAAAATTGCACACAGCATAAAGTGCACTGATATAAAGACGAACACGAAGATTGCACATACGGAAGAATGTGCACATGGAAGGTTGCGTACACTAAAAGTAAACACATTTTAGCAACATGATCACATTGTCATAACTGTCCATATTATCTGTTTGTGGCACTAACAAGAACCAATTTTCTATGCATGCCTCCAAAAGTAGCGAATTGTGACAATTGTGACATTCACACCCAAAGTGCCCGTTAGTTCGCCTGATGGGTAGGTATCAAACTGCGCAGAGTTGCAAAAACAGGTACAAAAATACACAGACGGAGCAATGCTCGCGTGCTGCAGTTGGTTGAGGACTCGACGAATCCGTAGTTGAAACCCACTGTGTCAGCAGGCCGAGTTATTGTTCCGCCTTCTCTTGCCTTTCTTTTAAGAGTGATGAAACCAAAGAGGACTATCTTCACCTTAGTCAAAGCCTCATATGGGAAGTCAGCAACGTGGGTCTAAAGACTTCCTTTGAAATTTGTCAGTCGCAAACTCCAACAAGTTTCTTGCTGCATTGACCGCTGCCCCAGTCGTTGATATAAATGAAATATTTGATGATTTATGCGCCACATTTCCAAATGAAGTATCATGTAATGCGATGCTCACATAACTCTCCATGTATAATTGTGAAACAATCCAGGGCAAGCAGTGTATCTTACTTAATACTTACAGTAGGAATTCGCGTCGTGAATAACGATCTGATGGACGGTCTTCCTGGCAGTGAGCAGGAGACTGAGACTATATGTGAAGATTCGTCGCAGCTGGACTGAGAGACAGCCGCCACACATCCAAGAAAGCGCTTTCTAGTTGCGACGAATCTTCACAAAAACCCAATAGATCCCCCTAATATTTACATTAAGACCTGTCTGCGTTAACGGAAGAACGTCACCCCACACCCGCTCATACAGCGATGCATCCGGAGGGAATAATTAGACACATCTCAAACACTTGGTCCGATCTTCTAATTGGGCTGTATTTTGCCGTTCTACCACTTAGCTCAACGGGATACAGAGGATGTGAACCCAGGAAAATAAAGGTGGTGCTTTAATCAAGAAATACGTAAGCATGATTATTAAAACGTTGGTATGAACTTCGTAGCGGCGTCCTCCAAGCAAACAAAATACACGGAAAACCGAGTCGTACCCTGTAAGGGGGACAATTCAGACAGCTTACGATGAAGAGATGCGATTCCTCACCAACACTCTAGAAGAAAACGGGTATCCAAATTCTTTCATCGCTCACTTCAGTAAAGACAAGAGAGAGAGAGAGAGAAGGAAACAAAAGATGTCTACCGTGCCAAAGCTTAAGGTTACACTGAAACTATCGTTTGAGATGATGTAAGCTAAGTATTTCAACTGCGTTTGAAGTCCGTGGTTGCACAAGTGTACCCCGCGGCGCAACCCGTACTGGTATACACAACGACGCACGTTTTCATACTCTTGGTTAAAACACAGCCACCTATGTCCAGCCATTCATACATCGTTTACGAATTTACATGTTATTGCAAGGCCACTTGCATAGGCATAACAGAGCGCGTTGCCAGTGAGAATGGCGGAGCATATCCCAGCGTGGGTCAGGAATCACGTTTCAAACCTAGCCCCGTCCACCACCCCAGGTGCGCAGCCAAGGAACGCAAGTGGTCAAGCGTACACGAGGCCTGCGTCATCAATCGCGCGCCATCTGCTGACAAACAAAAACACTGTGTTGACCCCACGCGTATGTTCAGTGTGATCTACGCATCAAACAACGCTCATGTGCTGCGATACGCTGAGGCGGTCGCCATTAAACAGCTTGACATCAGTTTGAGTGTGCAGAAGAACGCGTTCGTCACACTGGCTCTTCGCTAGTAGTAAGCCAATAGACAGATGATAAATTGACAAGGACGTGCGTGTGTATGTGTGCACGTATGATCATAGTGAGCCTCTCACGTTCTAATCTTGATTGCAGGTCATGGGAATCGAAGGCGGTTGATCGGCGTGCATGGCGCGATCTAATCACGAAGGCAGTTGCTGAAGTGCGGGAGAAAGAACTCATACATGCAGAGAAAAAGCGGCAAGTGCATAAGCGGCAAGCACCGACGGGTTGTACTCCATCGACATCGAGCGCATGGTGCTGTAGCACATGCGTTCGCGAGTGCCTGGGTCAGGAAGGCCTAGTGAGTCATGAGCGACGCCACCCGGAACCAATACCGAAGCGACGACGGGTCCTGTAGAGAACATAGGCAGAACCGGCGCAGCGTTTGTAGGTACGCTGCATTCGATTTACTAATCGCGTGCTTGCATGCTAAGTCTATTTATTTCAAGTGGTGGGTTTTCAATTTTGTCCTAATGCTTTTCTTTCTCATCTAAATGTCTACCTGTACTCTCTTCTATAAACTTGCACACGTCGCTTAAGCCAATTGTAGTTAATTTCGATAACATTTTCGCGTTTGTGGCATTTCCGTAAAATATACTTTCTGACCTCGTGAACTTATCTCGGATTCTTTTGTAAACAACTTATTTCATATGCTCATTAATTTCATATATATGTCACCGTTTCCTTATGCATTACTCGATTTATTTTCTTTGTTATCTTTCTCTCAAGTGATTGGCTGTTGCTTGATATCCCCGGTGTGGCTGCGCTTGATGTGCATGTTGACAAGGTGCCTACCTGTCTATTACCCACTACCTCGTCCACACTGGCTCTGAAAGACAGTTGGTCGTTGCTGGAGGTGGGGTGCACGGTCCTTGTGGCCGTGTTAGGATCAAAATGTGGTTCCATGCACTCAGTGTGGAGCGGACTACGGTCCAGCCACTGTCTTGTAAACGCTTGATTCCCCAAATACATCGTGCTTGTGTTTGCCTGTGAAGGAGTGTGGGCCGGCTCCGTTGATGAGACGTGGCTCCCATCCGCATGCCTCCCGGTCTTATTCCTTCGGGTTTACACTGGATATGGGGTGTGTGGATGGAGCTGTGGGTGGTGCAGCGCAAGCCACCCATGGTCCCTCTGTAGGCGCAGGCGTCCTTTGGCTGGCCACAGTGACAGGTAAATCCGAAACCTGATGCCGCCAACCATGTTGGTGAATTTGCTATCTCAACTGCAGTAACTTCATGATGCTGTAAATGTGCACGTGATTTGTATCGGTTCGCAGCCTTGTCAACATGCATATCAAGCGCATCAAAACCGGGGATGTCAAACATCAGCCAATCACTTGAAATGACACCAAATAAAATACATCTGTTAAAGAATACGGCTATGCAGACATAACTTCCCTAAATAAGCATATGAAGTAAGTTGGCTAGCAACGGATCCGTGATAAGTAAAAATGTCCTGAAGTTACTCAAAACATGCTACAAACGCAATAAAGTTAACGAAGATACCCACAATCAGCGTAAGCAATGTGGCCAGTCAATAGAAGATTAGTCAGATAGGCAGAACAAACCAAATAAAGTTAAATGAAATTTATCCAGCTTAAAAAGGCCTAGTTTAAGTGTAAGTGCAAGGATAATTTCGATTAATAAGAAGGAAATGCATCAGATGTAGGGAAGTCATTGGAGGACATTGCAGCACGTGTGACCCAGTTACATTTGAATAGGCCATAGGGTTAAGAAAGGTAGCGGCTGTCTACACAATCGGACGTGATGTAGTTGTGCACTAGGCTTTGGTTCCTGGCATTTTCATCACGTAACTTCAGCTCCAGTGATCTCAATATGGGCAACGCTTGTACGTATTTTTCCTAGTTTCACATTGATTTCGTTTATTATGAGCATCCTGAAGACAGGGAACCCAACTGAATTCACTGCATCCGTGCAATCGGTGCATGGCTGAATAAACAGATTGGATCGAACCGAAAAACTCGACTGGAACACGTCATGCCAACGTCATCACCGAATAACCACCTGAAGTGGTTGGTGAGTCCACTCATCTAAATGAACATGTGTCGTCTAGTGGATGAGTAAAGTGACACGCTTTTAACATCTCATTCTGAAATGAAGACAAAAGGATTCATGAGGAATAGTAAATAATGGAGAGAACAACGTTGAAATGCGGCCAGTGTTGCAGCAAGAATCGCGGGGATGTCCTTCACTCTTTGATGACATCCAAGGAATGTTTTCTTTGGCCCACCAGTGGTTATAAATCACTGCACATATTTGACTAAGGATCCTAGGGTGAAATGTCGACATTGGAAAAGCCGATACAAAGAGACAAGAGTTTTGGTGAAATCACTCGCAATGACTCAAGAGACATATGAACATGTAACATACCGGGTTCTGTGACCATATCGATTGGAGAGTCTCCAATACATCCCGATAAGTAACTGGAATGTTCACCACCAAAGTCAAGTTGATAGGGGAATCACGCAGTTTGTCAGTGGAATTCCATAGTTCCTCCAAAGTACGGACGGCAATTGAACTAGCGTTCTCCGCGTTGGATCCGAAAGGCGCAAATCCAGTTAAAACTATTCGCATTCATAAGGGCTGTTAGTAAGGACTAGAAACAGGAAAGCAAACAGAATTGGACCTCAGGAGGAGAGTATCCATCATCATTTCAGTAGGCTTGGTGGATGACGGGTTAATATAATTGTTAAGTGCATGTTTCGGTTTTGACGCAAATGCTTCTTCAGGATGTGAATTGCACAGTACGCCAACACGCATCTGTAGGTATAGCTGTAGAGCAACGTTGTAAGGTGCAGTGGCGCAACAGCATAAAGTAAACAACCGACTATCCAGGAGTAGGCAAGGAAATAATGACTTTCAGTAGCAAAACTCCGATAGAAAAGCAGAATATGGGAACCAATATACAGATTTTGGGTAAAAGACTGGCAAGGTAAACTTCCATAACGGACATAGACATAAATGATGGAAAATCAATGGAGTGGTCTCAATACGAGGAATCGCACGAAGCCAATAGGTGTGAATGGGAAAATTCCAACGAAAGACCTGTTACTCAGCTGGAAGGAATGACATCTTAGACTAGCGTCATTTATGAAGGCTGCTCAAATCCCCATGGTGATTACTCCATAACCCGGGATGGGAACTGAGACCACTAAGATTGCAGCTCCGAGTTACTGTGGGTCGGGATACTTCCACTCGCGTTTAAGTACATGGTTGCTCTAGGATTGGACCGTACCTGCTCCCGTGCTTACTCTTAAAGGTGCACAACTTGAACAGGTGGATAGATTCGTCAACGTTGGGAGCTGTGTTTCTGCTAGCGGCACTTTCAGCAAAAAGGATAATCTCCGATTCGCTAAAGCCCAAGCAGCAGTTGTCAAGCCGACGCACTGGTAGTGTGACCGAGACATCTATATCCCAATAAAAGATTGTGTTAATAGTGTCTCCATTTGTTCAGTGTCCTTGTGTGGGAGCGAGTCCTGATTTAACACCGTATCCTCATCATGGCACATTATCTGAAGGTAAGCAACACACATCAGCTATTGCGCCGCAATACACGACAGAAGCGGAGCATTTTTGTTATCTTGCACACGCTATTTCTTAATTTTTTGTCGTTTTCAATCATTAAGCATCCGAATACAAACAATTATGTACACAGATCCTCTACCGGTTTCGATTACGACCCGTATCCTGATTTGTTTTCTGTCATCGGCACTCCCCGTCCTTAGGTCCCCAACCAGACAGACGTGTGGATCTAATGGTGGCAAGACGTGAAGGATCTCATTTGCTGTCGCCAAGTGGATGGTGGACCACCGCGTGGTCTCTTCCAGTTGTGTCTTGTAAGAGAAAACAGAGCGCGATAGGGCAAACGCTCAGCTGACATACGCAAGACGTGACCGAACCATCTCAACTGGTGCAGCAAAACCAGCTTGCTGAAGGGATACTCGCATTCCCTAAGGCACGACGTCTGACTTCATCGTTGCAGATGTAGCTGCCACCACACACAAGCAAACATTCCCAAGCACCCGCTGTCCAAGGTCGATAGCCGGCGCATATGGTTTACGCAAACTGGCCATGACTCGCCTCCATAGAGCAACACCGCCCAAACGGTGGCATTGTAAACACGACCCTTTACCATGAGGAAGACACATACCGACGGCGCCCCAAGTGCTGCAGGTTGACAAATGTCGACCGAACTTTGGCGACGCGAAGAGAAATTTCTTTTGCAATGGCACCACCAGCAGACATACAACTGCCGGGGTAGACAAAGCTATCCACTTGTTCAAACTTCGTACCTACAAGAGTGAGCACACTAACGGGCGAGCACCAATCCCGAAGCAGCACATTACACTTTCAAGGGGCAAAGCACATTCCGTACGTAGATGCCTAAATCGCCAAACGGTCTAGAATGGTTTGTATGCTCTGCGAGTGGTCACCAAGTCAGGCGATATCATCGGTATAAACTAAGCCGGTCGCTCGCTTACCCGGTAGTAACTGTAGACCAAAATTTTGGTAACCGTTTAGAGCTCTCGACAGGACGTCTTCAATCGCGAAAATGAAGTGGAACGGGGATTTAAGACAACCCAGCGCACACCGCTACTGACAGCGAAGGACAATGAAAGCCTGCCACACACCCTCACTCTGCCACAGATGTGGAAATACAGTGCGCGTAGAAAAGCAGTGTACTTTTCTGGGACACCGTTCCTTAGCAAATAACACTATAGTGCAGGTCAATCAACCGAGTCGAATGCGGCACGGATGTCCAAGAATGCCACGATGGTAAGTCTCTGGTAAAGATGGCGATGTTCAAGAAGTGGACGGGATGTGAATATCTGAGCCACACACCCGTGGCCAGGTTGGAAGTCAGCTTGCTCTTCCCGGTATTGCGATTCGCGAATGGGAGATAGTCTATGGTGTAGAATGGATGCCAATAGCTTGAAGGCAACCGAAATGTGACTAATCTCCCGGTGATTGGTACACGAAGTGCGAGCACCTTTCTTAAAAACCGGGACAATAACTGACCCGCCCCAAAAAGGCATCTTTTCTTCATGCCAGATTTCGGAGAACAATGAGGTTAGCTGGCTAATGATAACTGAGCCACCATACTTAAACAGCTCCGGAGGAAGTCCGTCTGAGTCCGCAGCCTCAAATTGTCTTAGGTATCGAATCGCAAGACAAAGTTCCGCTTCGATGGGTGGATCAAGTGTAACGACCCAGTGCGAGCAGCTGGGTTCGCAGAGCATATAAGTGGACGGTGAGGACCAACTGAACTGGGAATGAGAATGTTCGGCCCATCGGTCCATGCGTCTCACTAAGTTGGCAATCGGCGAACCATCCGCTTCGCATATGGTCGCACTGACACCAGACTTTCCTTGTCCAGTGTATCGAATAAGCTGGAAGAGCTTGTCAGTATTGCCAGAGAGGGCGGCGGCCTCCATTTCCGAAGCACGCTGGGACTACTAGGCTTCATGGTCACTGTATAGGCTTTGTTTGAGCTGCCGACTCCGTTGGGATAGCTCTGCGGCGGTCAAATAGATCCAAAGAGCGCGTGGAGATCCAAGCCTTCATAAGGTATTGAGTAAGACCAGAGACTGACTGTCCTGAAGCAATCATGGTCCTCTGCATAAACGTTTAGTGTTCATCAATGTTTTGTGGTTGGTCGCTGTTGAATGCATCGGCCAGGAGAGCATGATAGCTTTGCTGAACCTAGAGAGTAGATAGTTTACTTGTGCTTCTTTTTTGGGACCCTCCGAAACTCATCCAGATGTTCGCACAAACAAGAGCATGGTGTGTGTTGAGAAATGTAGACCAGCTGGATTTGCAATCCTTTGCACCACATTGCCATCTGTAACTAATTGCGATGTCGTCAATCTGAGACCATGACTGAGACACAGAAGGAGGTCTCCAAGTAGTGGTACGTCTCCTTGAATGCCGGAAGCTCGTGGTCGAGAGAAACAGGCGATTATCTTCACACAGTATGATATGTCTTTCTGCATTATCTGAGCGGTTGTCATCGAGCGCATGGTGACCACCGAGGTGAATTTCTTATGATAATAGGCGACCAACCCGTGCGTTGAGATCCCCAGCAAGGACGACAATATCGGATTTGCAGGCTCTGTACAAGAGCTGATGAAGTTAACGGTAGAAATCGTCCTTGGCTGAGTAGGAACTGTAGTCAGTTAGAGCGGAAGCCGAGATCATAAACAAGTTGCGTCTCTCCTCACGATATCTGTTTAACTTGCATGATCTCCGATGCCGAACTACTGCATATAGTCGGCTATTGATCAGGAACCAGTATAGCAGTACGGCCTCGATTTTGTTACTTAGCGCTACACCAACGCCAGTCAAGCCTGCCGCAGCCGCTTCTGTGTTATCAGATAGACGTAGGTGAAATCTGATTCCGTGATCGGTGGAAGATCTCAGCTCAATCACAATACTGGGATCTTGTAAGCGCGTTTCGGAAAGACAGCAAAGGTCGATGGCGAGGGATTCCAAGGTACACGCAAGACCAGCTTGCTGCCCAAGCTGCATGAGTGTACGCACATCGAAGCATGCCAGACGGAACGAGGAGCGAGGCCGAAGGTGTGCGATTTGGCGAGCTCTCTGAATGTCGACGAAACCATCGGGAGTAGAATAATGGAAATAGGAATCAGCTGGCAAAGGATAACAGTGATTGGTAACAAATAAACAGGTGGTGTGTGAAGGTGTGTAAGTAGCAGGAGCAAAAGCAGCTGAGAGCGATATTGCAGATGAATAGTCCATGGCTTTGTCAGTGGGCATGATATTACCCGGTTGCCCAAGTCGAAGTAGGGAGTTGTCTTAAGGGACTCCACCCCGAGCCTTTGGCTAAATAGTCTGTCCGCAAGGCAGCAGGGCGATGGTGATACTGAGCTAGTTTGACCCCTAACTATTGACCTGCCTGATATGAGTGGCTCTGAAGATATCTGAAAGTGCTCAATGGGTCACAAAGATACGTAAACCATCGCAGCACGTTAAGGTCCAGTCTCGTTGCGATGGAAGTCACGTCGCGTATCAGCAAGGCCCGTAGGGCTTTCCAGAGGCTCAGACATCAATGGAGACACCGGAATATCAGCATGGCGATGAATGGTAGGGTATATAACGCCACGATAAGCTCGGTCTTACTGTACGAATCAGAGACCTGGCAAGTTCGCAGTGAAAAGATTAACTGATTGGCTTTGTTTGATCCCTGGCGTTTGCGGTATATTGCTCACATCTGGCGGGAATGTCAAGTGACCAATGCTGAGGTTCGCCAGCTGGTTTTTGACAAGAAACCTGGTGCATCACTCTAGTGTTTGCTAAACCTTAACCGCTTACGTTGGTTAGGTCATATCTCCGTATGCCCGTCGGCCGACCTCCTCAGCGTGTACCAGCGATGCATCAAATTGGTCAAAACCGCAAGGTGGCATAGAGAGATGAAGAAATTGACTGAGAGACCTGATCAGGCTGGTGGATGGGGGGGCCTTGGGATGGTCCACAATAATGGTTGGAGACCTCTTCAGACATTGCGCAGTCGCGCAGTCAGTGGCGTTCCTGTATTTGGTTTACCGCATCTGGTT